GTTTGACGTGTTCTTAGCTCACCTAGGAATACTAACATCTTAACTAATTGTGCTTAGTTCAGTAGGTAATATAAACTTTAATTACTATGGTGTTCTGTTAGTGTAGCAACTGTAGATAGGCCCTAAGTCCAGCGTCCGAGTCGCCTATTGCACAACGTACCACCTTGTGCAAAATCAAAGCGATATGGATGCAATTGAGAAATCTTAAAGAACAGCCAGGAGCCACTGGGACGATGCGGATCATTCGAGCCAAATTTCCCCACTCTACAAGACAGAGAGTTGGAGAAATGAGGCAACGAGACGATCATTGGACGGTGGAAGAACTACTTCAGGCTTTCGACCGAGTAATCGATCGACTTGAAGTAATGGAAGACACCGACCCAATGACGGAAGTGACATCATACACGTCCGCAGTGCATACTCCTCGAATTAGTTCAGCTAGTGGCCCCAGAAGAACGCACCAGTATAGGCCAACCAACAGACATAGTTCAGCTTCGAGTCCTCACACAGATCCCCGCAGAGACATGAGACCAATTCAAACGAACCTCGCTGCGTGTTCTGTGTCATGAAAGGACACGACCCCACACAGTGCAGAGAAGTCGGGACAGTGCACGCACGTAGAACATTGGCCGCAGAGTTACAACTCTGCTGGAAATGTCTAAATCGAGGACATCAAAGCGTGGACTGTAACGCACCTCACTGTAATACGTGTGGAGGAGGACATCACAGCGCGCTCTGCTACAGAAGGAGGAATACGTACCGAAGTCCAAGTAGATCCAATAGTCCAGCACGTAGCCGCTTCGGTAGCACAGAGCGCTATGATTCCAACTATTACAGATCTAGTTCAGGAGATAGATCCAGAAGGATCTCTCGCTCACCTAGTCCAGCTCGTAGGGGTAGGTCCCCAGTCGTGCGTCAGAACACGACCCGTAGAAGTTCACCCCACCCAAAGGTAGACTTCAAGACCTCACCCACTACACATACTTACTCTAGTCCAGCGTGGATGCATCAGAACCAAGATGCAGACTATTCCACAGACGGTTCTGAGTCGAGATCATCATGCGAGTCTCACGAAGATGTGTTTTTAACAAACACAGTTCAACTGGTGGAAACACCACTTGAACCAGCAGTGAGCAGTACAGTTAACCGCATGAGCAGTTTTCGCCCCATGTCCAAGCACTAACAAAAAATCATATCACAAAGACTGAGCAAGTACTCACGATTCTCCTCGATAGTGGATCCCAGCATAGCTATATCAAAGAAGACATAGCTAAAGCGTTGGGATTGAAGCTAAGGCAACCAAAGGATATAACAACTATAGCCTTTGGAGGCCATGCTCAAACAGAAACATCGTATCGAGTAAGAATCGTACTACACAATGAGACAGATGGGAGACCGACACGTCTCAACCTATGGACACGAAAGTCCATAACCTCTGTCCCGTACAGCTCGTCACATAGTTCAGCAGAGGACTCTACAGTCCCACCGTATAACAGCAAAGACCGTAAAGAGGTCGATATCCTGATAGGAATGGACCATTACTGGGACGTAGTTGAGATAAATTCAAATCGCCTACTCCCCTCTGGTTTAGTCCAGTCTAACACAACACTTGGTCCCGTCTTATCAGGATTGCAGTCGTCATCGAGTTCATAGTTTCTAGTTCAAATTCAGCATCACCGACGCCCGACGTTGAATCCATCAACGAAACGGAGCGCATAGTACGTCAACTTCTCGGGCTTGAAACACTAGCCATGAAGGACGAAGTGGACGAGACAGATGCTGACATAGTCCAGCACTTTTACAACACAGTGAAAATCGTTGACGGCTTAGTTCATGTCGAGTTCCCTTGGAAAAAAGAGCATCCTCCGCTAGCAGATAACAAAGCCTTGGCGATTCGTAGACTTGAATCTCAGTACCACAAGCTCCACCATAATAAAGATGTGTGGAAACAGTACTGCGATACCTTCGAACAACAACTCAAGCAAGGTATCATAGAAGAAGTCCACGAACAGTCGCCCTCGAAAAATCCAACATACTACATCCCACATCAGGCAGTCTTAAAGAAGACAGCGCTACCACAAAATTACGAATTGTCTTCGATGCGTCCAGCCACATGAGAGGCGTACCAAGCCTCAACGATTGTGTGCATCAAGGACCATCACTTCTACCGGACCTATGTGGGACCCTTTTGCGAGCACGCCTTACTCCAATACTGATCATAGCGGACGTCGAAAAAGCGTTCCATCAAATCCGTTTGCACGAAAATCAGCGGGACGCCACAAGATTCCTCTGGTGGAAGGGGTCCCTCCAAAGGTAACATTCGTACGCTACGATTCACACGTATTCCGTTTGGCGTGAACGCATCCCCCTATCTGCTAAGCATGTCAATCAAATATGCTCTTGAAAGGGACAAAAATAGTTCAGTTCATGAAGAAATTCTTGCAAACACTTACGTCGACAATGTTCTCATTGGCGCAACATCGGCCAGTGAAGGCATTTCAAAACAAAAAACATGTAAGAATATCTTCAAAAATAAATGGAACCTTCGAGAGTTCATGTCCAACAATAAGCAGATCATGGAGTCCATCCCAGAGAAGGATCGCATGAAAAAGATTAAGGCCTCAGTCAAACTTCTCGGTCTCAAGTGGAACACAGAGGCAGATGTACTACAGATCCCTATAAAAATTGCTTCAAAATCTGTAGTAACAAAAAGGTCAGCCTTAAAGGCATTCGCATCTACCTTTGATCCACTTGGACTACTTAGTCCACTAATGATTAAGGCCAAGATCTTCATCCAGGACTTGTGGTTAAGCAAGCTTGGATGGGACGATCCCCTGGACGACACCACATTACTTCAGTGGTCTGCTATCATAAACAGCATTATCGGCTTCGCTGGAAGTGTCCCACGCTACATTGGACTTCCCCAGCGCGTCAAGTACGATATGGCAATTTTTTCAGATGCATCACAAAGGGCATATGCCGCAGCCGCATACCTGGTATGCCGGCCCCCGCATATGAAACCTTTCAGCAACTTGATCTTCTCCAAGACCAAGTTAGCCACACCTGGAAAAATTACCATACCAAGGCTCGAGCTACTAGGCATAACCCTAGCCACTAAAATAGTTCAGTTTCTAATACAGCAACTAACCATAACACCTAGTTCAGTTCAACTGCTGACCGACTTCGCAGATAGCGTTGTATTGGATTCACTCCAATAAGCAGTTGAAAACATTCACTAACAATAGGGTTAGAGCCATAAAAGAAGTACTTGATGAACTTACCAAAGCCGGTATCTCACACCAATTCTTTTATGTTAATACAGAAAATAATCCAGCGGACTGTGCAACCCGAGGCATTTCTGCTGCGGAGATAAAAGACCACATTTGGTGGGGGAGCGTGCAACAGAATCGTCCGGGACTGGCGCCGTCGCGCGCGGCCACTTGCGCGGCGCCGTGACGCGGCACTTTTTCGATGGGCGCGGCAACAGTAGACTTTGTCGATTGGAGCGACAGATTTGCTGCCGTCCACATTAAGCCTTTTGGCGCTGGCCCGTCAACTTTAACGTTTTATTTTCTTCTTATTTTTAGGCCCGCTTCATTGCTGACGGCTCTTAAGGGATCAAGATCAATAGTTTAATTGAAATTTCAGGTACGCGAGGGCGGAGGAGACGGCGCCCGTGGTGTGAATAAATTCCGAGTTGGTCAGCATACTCCTGTAATACAAGTTTCGTTATGGAATCATTCAAAAACCAAGACAGCGACTCAGCCGCATTAACTGATTAAGCACATTCCCCTACCGGCTTCAGATGGCTTCCGCCGGCCATGTTATGAGCCTAAAATGTTAAAGGGAGGAGTCGGGGTAGCCCCTGTGAGAAATCGAATGACGCTCAACTCGTCCACTACAGTCGCGACGTCGCGGCCGCGACCACAAGCGCGGGCTCCGGACGATTCTGTTGCTACACACCCCATTTGGTGGCACGGTCCTCAATTCTTACTTAGTCCAGCAAGTCGTTGGCCGAACGCAGACTTTGACTTCACCGCAAAGCCCCCTCGCTCAAAGGAGGCCGAGGTAGAGTTAAAGTCCACGACGGCATTAACAACGCAATCATATAGTTCGTTTATCCATTTAAATCCACTAACTCATACTCCAGATTACTTCGAATCACGAGCTATGTACTAAAATACCTCGCAAACCTCAGAGCTAAAATAAAAAGAAAGCCAAATCTTCTAGTTCAGCTGACTGGATCAGGTCTCAACAGCGACCTTAGTGAACCCGCGCGACTCTGAAGCAGCTAGACTCCTCTTACTTCGCGAACACTATCGCGAGGGAGCAGCACAGCTTCAAAGCCATGCGAAGGTATTCCAGTTAATCGAAGACAACGGCATATACAAGGTACATTTACGGATGGCGAACGCTGAAGTAGACGCGTTATCAAAAACACCAATACTTCTACTTCAGAAGCATCCGCTCACAAGGCTGATAATTCTCGATTACCATCAAAAACTCTTTCATGCGGGCTCAGCCCATCTTACAGCAGCCTTGCGGAATGACTACGTCATACCAAAGATTCGCCGTCTTGTAAACAGCGTAATATCAAAATGTGTCGTTTGTCGGCGATTACAAGGTCGCTCATACAAGTATCCAAATCCACCTGATCTTCCATCTCATAGAGTTGTACGGAGTCGTCCTTTCGAAAATACCGGTCTAGACTACTTCGGACCACTTTTAGTTCAGTCAGAGGCCGGTCAGCTCAAAAAGGTGTGGGTATGCTTATTTACATGCACCGCTACCCGCGCATTACACCTCGAAGTGGTCAAGGACAATTCCGCACCTCAATTTCTCTTGGCTTTCAGAAGGTTTGCAGCTCGCCGAGGAACCCCCAGCCTCGTGCTGAGCGATAACGCTCCTACGTTCAAGCTCGGAAGAGAAGTACTAATAAACGAACTTTAAAGATAACACAATAGTTCAGCAATTCATGACAGCCAGAAACCTATAATGCCACTTCCCCCATGGAAAGGTGGGTTTTATGAACGATTGGTCGGTTCCGTGAAAGCAGCCTTGAAAAAGGTTCTTCACAGACAGACCGTCGACGTCTTGGGCACTTCCAAACCCTTATGACGGAGATAGAGGCAACACTGAACACGAGACCCATAACACCTGTACTGGGTCATACGATCAAATCTTCGTGTTGCGTCCTATCGACCTCATAAACCCACAATTCAATCTGGCCAACCTTACAAGGGAAGTCCCTCGAGTCGCCATGGCCATTCGAGATGTATACCCACGTATGCGTCTTGGAACGCTGATCTCGAATCTGTCTTCCAAATCTGCTAAACGATTCGGAGAGAAGAGTTAGGGGGTGGTTTCACCATGAGGTCCAGTTCTTAATGCTATTCGACAACCAAGCCGTGCCTTCGGTGGCGCAGCCGGTAAGCTGTCGGACTTGCAGGAGCAGCACCAAGGTTCGATTCCTTGATGCATGTGTTGCTTTTGCATCTTGTGTTAAAACGCTTTTTAAACGTTTGCAAAAAATTTCGTGGCCAACTTTGAATATTGGAACCCTTTTTTTGCCCACTTGAACTGATTTCAAAAGAGGAACTTATTTCTTGCTTGAATTACTCTACGAAGACGCACGTAACCTCTCCAAGCGCTCAAAATTCAGGATGAAGGAATTCGAAATCTTTGGCGGACTGCTAGACGGCGACCTCTTTGGCGGGCTCCAGAATTTTGAAACCTTCGGTTACTCCTCCATCGGTCAATCAGCCGGTTGAGAGATACCGATTTGGATCCACCGAGATGTTAGATATTATCACTTATGCTCATTGTCAGGAAGTGTTCCTGATGCGTCACAGTAAAGTGCATTAAATAAAGCTTCCAGATTAGTAATAATAGAGAAACCATACTTGTACAAGTCACTGTGGAAGTTACTCCCAGAAACTTGCCCAAGAAAGGACTACTAGAGGGCAAAAATAGTTGAAGTGGCACGAAAAACTGTTTTGCAAACGTTTAAAAAACGTTTTAACACAGATGCAAAACTAGCACATGCATCAAGGAAACAAACCCAGGGCCCGATTGCTTACCGGCTGCGCCACCGAGGCACGACCCCTTGGTTGTCGAATGGCTTTAAGAAATGGACCTCAGCGGTGAAACCACCCCCTAACTCTTCTCTCCGAATCGTTTAGCAGATTTGGAAGACAGATTCGAGATCAGCGTTCCAAGACGCATACGTGAGTATACATCTCATCTCGAATGGCCATGGCGACTCGAGGGACTTCCCTTGTTAGTCCAGCTAATACTCGCGTAACTTCTAACGATCAGCTACTAGTTCAGAATCGCACGAACACCTAATAACTTACTATACAGTTCTGCGAGACTCCTTGAACGCTTTTGGGATTCCTGGCACAAAGAGTATCTCCAAAGCCTAGCCGAAAAGTGCCAAAAGACTACCGCTCCCAAACAAGGTGCAGCGAGTCCACCCAAAGTTGGAGATGTAGTACTAGTAAAAGACAAACCTCTGTACTAACATACTTTCTATCACTACTTCACTTCTGCACTAATCAATTTCAACATCCATTAACATGCGATTCTAGTACAGCCAAAGGACGAAAATGCAGCCGAAGGCAAAAAATCGATAAATCAATAAAGCGTCAAAATCAAAATACTCAAAATCCATGACGCAATAGTTCAGCTATACGGTAGCGCGCCCGAGCGCAAGTCGAAGATAGCTATCGATTGCCACGTGGCAACGCCGTCGACAGCCGGCGCGCAGCCCAAAATCGTAATTTCGGATTTTGCGATGTTACATCGCCATTTTTGCCTCATTCGACCATTTTCATCCACTCCTTCTGCATAATTCACTAATTCCAATCTCATCCACTCATATTCGAAAACTAGTCCCATCTAGTTCAGTTCCAGAAGTGCGTACTAGTAGTGCAAATCTCAGCCATGAGCGTAAGCGAAAACCGTAAGAGCTTACGCGAGCTCATCCAGGTACGGATTTTCTATACAGTTTGTCTTTTGAAGTGATCATTTAACAGCGATCGAACGTTTAAGTCAGGAGATCTCCTGTTAAGAGATCCATGTTTTTCGAATACTCGAAACTTCGAGTCAATCGATACGAAAACATCAAAAGACAAAATATGACGTCATTCACGGTTCATTTCGATTTGATTTGCACTACGCACTTACACCTTTCTAACCATAACAATTTGCAAGTCAATGTATTTCATCCTTTACTAGCCGTAATATTCCTCGATCGTTTGGAACGTAGATGTCTGACGGCTGGAATAGCATTGTACAAGCGATATATTGACGATGTGTTCATTATTGGCTCTTCCACGAGGGATTTAGAAGACACGCTAAGAAACCTCAATTCACAGGATCCCAACATTAAATTCACGGTCGAAGAGCCAAATGAGGAGGGTTTTGTACCGTTTCTCAACACCAAAGTTCGCATCAACGAAGGAGAGAAGGAACTTCAATGGTACAAGAAACCTGCATCGAGGAATATACTTTTACATGCTAGAAGTTGCCACCCCATCTACATGAAGGCCAACGTCGTCCGCAATCTGATTTCAACCAAGGATAAAGTCTGCAGTCAGCCTTCAAGTGAAGTAGACATAATGGTGGAACGTATTTTGAGAGAAAACGGATATTCCAATACGAACTTGCAATCATGGAGACCGTACTCCACACCTGATGGGATCACCATGATAATGCCGTATGTTAACGAAAAAACAGCATGGAAGGTCAACAATGTCGTAAGGAATTCCTCGCTCCCAGTACGACTTGTGTTCCGCCCACCCCCGAACTTGAAGCGACTGCTGACATACTCCAGACCTTACGAGGATAAATGTGGGAGGAATGGTTGCATCTACTGTAAGGACGACAAAATATGCCAACTAAGAGGTACAGTTTATGCAATAGAATGCCAAGGATGTGGGCATAAGTATGTTGGAGAAACAAGAAGACCTCTCCACAAACGACTTGATGAACATCGGAGGGCTCTACAAAATCCGGCCTCATATCCAGGTAACAGCTTCTCCAAACATAGAACCCAACAACATGCCCATGGGGATCCACCCACCCTCAACGTAAAAGTCCTACACCGTTCCGTTGAAAACACAGTGGAACGCAAAATACTGGAGGCTCTGGAAATAAAAAGACTAGCCCCGGAAATAAATAGCAGAGACGAGTTACGTGACTCTCTTCAACTCATCGCATGACTGCAGTTATCATCACTGTGGAATGAATGCGATATTTTGGGAAATAACGGTCGTAGCACGTCAACGCTATTTAAGGGTAAGTCTAGGGTAGGGAACAGTTCCTGCTTCACAGACCGACAAGGGTGGTAAGTGTTACACTTTTGAAGTGGACAGCAGGTGGGTCAGTTAATATATTTTAATATATTAACAGACTTTAAGAAAGCTTCTAATTTTCATTTCAGGCTCGACAAAGGCGCTAAGCGCCGAAAGCTCGCCAAAAAAGGCCTAAACTTTTGCAAAACTTTTGCAAACACACATTTTTGCAATTTCTTTTGTAGAAAGTTTTGAGTCTTTTGCAATAAATTTTGAAGTCTCACATTGTTTAATACACATTTACTGTACACAATGTTAACAATTAGCTCATGGAAAAAAGAAAAACAAATGGGTTCTAGGTAAAGACCAATAATAGCAGCAGAACCACAACGAAAACCGAAACAATGTAACATGACACATGAATATAACACCAATTGGCCGACTCTGGACTGCCTCCGATCCGCTCCTCGAGATTCCTTCCATGATTGGGAGATTCCCTGCTGCGTTTCTGCCTTTCTGTCGACAACTCTGGAACATATAAAGAGTCGTTCCCCGTGTCTACAGGTTTATTTGGAAGGTTTTTTTTGGAAGGTTTTTATTTGATTTTTGAACCCTTGGAAGGATTTCCACCGACCCGCTAGCATTATTTTGCCTGAATCCACCCCGCCGAATGGCGTGCGTGGCAGCGCCCCCTCTAAATGAATGAGAGGTCAATTTTTTGCGCTGTAAACCTGCGGCCTTAACGATTTTCTTAATATACTTTTGGCCACATAATCCCTGGAAGGGGGTTTTCTGCTTCGCTGCTGAAGAGAAACTTATGGGGTAGCATCGGTCTTTTTAAGCGGCAGAAGGCCTGCCACAGCTTCTTGGAATCGGAGCTGTCTGACCTCTCCGACTCGCAAAAGCGCGGAAAAAGCCAACATGACGCTAGTTGCGGCGCTGACATATGCCGGGGAGCTGCTGTTAAGGCCAAGCTCTATTATGCGGTCTACGTCCTCCTTAGAGGCCTTGATGCGATGTTTGACGGGGCCCTGGATCTGGCAGCCGCTCTAAGTAACGCTTTGAGGATATCAGCGTCATCCTCCGGGAGGGGCCCAAAAAAATGGGAAAGCGCGGATACATGATATCCCAAAGACCGGTCCTGGCCCTCCTGTATAAGTTGCGCTATAAAGATATTCCGAAGCTTGGCAAGCTCCGACGCCGGAACCCTTAAGGACTTGCTGAACTTAAGGAAGCGGGACTTGACTCTTTTATATATTCTCAAAGTCCCAGGCGCCACCGACTGGTCGATACAAGTTTGTATGACCTGGGCTACCTCTCCCAGCC